ACAAAAGAAGTGTTCCTGCAGGGGCTGCTCACCCTGGGTAGGGCCCTGTGGTAAGTCTCAGCGCCAGCTGAATAAATAACATCCTGTGGTTATAGTGACTTGAAAGTGTTCCTGGGCATAGCAGTGGTGGTGGGGATGTGGATCCTGGGGGTGTGAGCAGAGGGCTTTCCCAGAGTGGGGGCCACAGTGGCCTGTGGGGGGCCCTCTCAGTCTGGCCTGGCTTGCCTGTGACACGGGGCTCATAGAAGAGGCTGCCAGGCCAGTACCATGGCATCAGCCAGGGTTCACCTTCCAGGAGAGGAGAGCAGATCTCTCTTCCAGCCTCCTTGGACAAATCAGTCTCAAGACGAGGTGGTGCCATCATTGCTCTGGGGCTGGTTGCTAACCTCCTTGTCTGGAGTGTTTGCCTCCACCTGCCCTTCTGCCCCCTCGAGCGCCAGCTCGCCTGTGTCTCCAGCCAGCTTCCTCACGCTCACAGCCTCCAAGTCTCCCTGGATGTCAGGGACAGCATTCCAACGGCCTGTCCAGTCACAGGAGATGAAGTCCAAGTAGGAGGACTCGACCTCCATCATGCCCGTCGCATTGCTCCTCAGGCCTGGTTTAATTTCTCCTCCTGCTTGCATCTCTTCAGATTTTCCACTGTTGACTAATCAGTGTGGAAATTCTGCAGTCTCCCAGCCTCACCGTGCCGGGGCCGCCAAATAATAAGATTCTTAAACAAGGAAGAATCATCAATGGTGATGAGCATTTTAAATTGAATGAATACTGCCAAATTGCCTTCCAAAAAGGCTTTACCAATTTACCATGAACAGTGTACGAAAATCACTTTCTCATATCCTCACTAACATTAGAAAGCCAACAGTCATTAATTTTGCCAACCCTTAAGGGTTGCAAATCTCAATTTGCATTTTTCTGATTACTAGTGAAACCGTGTTCCTTTTCTGACGTTACAGCCCATTTGTATTTCTTCTGTGAATTACCTATTTGTGTCCTTTGCCCATTTTTGTGGTGGATTGTCTTTCTCTCATTAACTTATAGGAGATATTCATAGTCTATATAATTCTTTGCTATGTATGTTACTAATTTTTCTCCCAGAGAAAAAAGTAAAAGTATTTATTTACTTATTTAATTTTTTTAGACAGACTCTCACTTTATCACCCTTCTCTTTTTAGAGATGAGGTCTCACTCTGTCTCAGGCTGGTCTCAAACTCCTGAGCTCCGGCAACCCACCTGCCTTTTACCTTTTATATCTTACTTACAAAGTAGCTTTCATTGTATATAAATTGGGCATATGTGTTTTAACTTCAATTTTTTTATTAAAATGTTTTTCTTTTTTTTTTTTAATAAGAAATTGGGTCTCACTGTTTTCCCAGGCTGGGCTCAAACTTCTGAGCTTAAGCCATCCTCCTGCCTCAGCCTCCTGAGTAACTTGTACAATAAGGTCGGTATGTGATATAGAGCTGGCCCGGTCTGGGTCCAGTTTGTTTTAACTTCTATACAGCCATTTTCTTATATAGCTTCTGGTTGATGTGTCTTTCTTAGGATGGTTTCCTCTATCCCAAGTTTATGAACGTACTCTTTATTTTCTGCTAACATTTTTGGAGTTTTCAGTGTTTTCTCTCTAATCCATCTGTAGTTTTTTTCCAGCTTTCTTGAGGTATAATTGACAAATAAAAATAACGTATATTTAAGGTATACAACATGATATGATATATACACACACATATCTGCAGTTAATGTCTTGTATGATGTAAAGGAGTATGCTCACCTTTTTCGTAGACAGTTTTTCCAAGACATTTAGTAGATGGACAGTCCTTTCCCTGGTGTTTCCAAATACCACCCTTATTAAAAATTAAATTCCTACTCATTCAGAAATTTCTTTCTAAGCTATATATCTGTACTGAAACTAAGGGTTTTAATTACTATGTCTTTATAATATCATTTTCGAACTCTTTCAGTTTCAAGTAACAGAAACCCAGCTCAAATTATGAAATGTATTGCTATGAAACTAGATATCCTAAGGCAGATCTGTTTTCAGGCTGGATTGCATACAGGGACACAG